CAGCGAAACATGCGTGGGAGCCGCTCTTCAAAGCAAGTGAAAAGGAAGGAAAACCGTTACCGTGTAATAGCCAGCCATCGACCTAACTGTACTGAAACAGTTGCACCTGTCATAAATGGCGAGGCATTGATTGATGGTGACAGATCAGACCCCGAAGCAAAGGAAGATGCTTCGCAAAAGGAGAGCGGCGCTGTTGACAAGCGTTTGGACTGCTGTGGGAAGTTCCAGTTGTTTGATATTGAACAAGAAGAGGAGGTGGGGGGAGACTCCAGTGGAACTGCTGCAAACCCACAGGTCAGCAAATGAACATAAGTGTACTTGAAGTACTTTGATATCACTCTTGACTGGTACGTGTGGGCAGACTGACTGCTGTGGAAGCTTTTTTGCATTGTAAGTATTCCACTATTTAACAGGAGCTTTAACTAGATATTCACAAGGTAGAATATAATACAGGGAGTAACTTTCATGAGGATCCTTAAGTGCACTAATGTTGTTGAGACAGTCAGCCATGTAGAGTTGGCTGCTACAGGAAGGGCTTGCACCTTTTTCTGTACCCTGTTCTGATGTATAAATTCTCATATTCAATTGTCAGGTGAATCTCTGAGGTTTTTTATTAGCTTCTTCTCTACTTGGAAAAGAAAAAATCTAATTCAATGTCTTCTCATCTGCCCAGATACCTAGGAACATCACTTGTAGGCAAGATTCACTAAAGGAAAAGATAATTTTAAGCCTCCCCTTCTCAGAATTCCAATATATGGTTTTATTGTATATTTTGGTTCTAGCTGCTTAAGCCCCTGCATCCTGTTTTCATTGGTGTCATGAGTTAAGTTTGTGATTTCAGTTGGAGGAATATCTGCTCAAAATCTAGAATGGTTTTAAGTATGAAGAAGCTCTGCCTTCTGTGTAAGGTCGCCCTGATTATAGAGTGTTACAAAGATTTTGTATTAAAGAGACTCATAACCATGTGGAAAAGAAGGTGAGAGGGCTGTGTATGCTTTCTTTAGTAGTTCCTTCACTGTATGTAAGTACACATGGACACTTTACTTATGCAGCCCATCACAGCTCTGAGGAAAACTTTAATGTTGAAGAAGATATTTGGGTGAGGAAGAACCTAACCAGCTGTCATCCTTCAGCGTTTCTTATAGGTTATTTTGCCATCAAACTTCAGCATGAACTCTCAAGTTCAAACGGACATTTGAGATCTGTTAGCTAACTGTTCTGTATCACTCTGCTGATTAGAAAAACAGAAATGAAACCAAGGTAGCATCAGAATTTTCCTCTTACTCCATTAGAGCTAGAAGTTAAGTGTTGAATGCAAGAAGTAAGCTTTCTTTTTCCTTCTGTAAGTATTTAGAAGTGAATGAAAGGCTGGTCTGTAGCTTTTCCTCAGAATTACTTAAGCAGTTCAGGAGACATACCTGTGAATTGGAAAAGATATTCTGAAAAACTCTAGCAGAGAAAAATTGGCAGCAAAAACCTGCCTGTGTAGACCTTCAAGTGCAGGTCACTAACACAAATATATCGCAAATAATCTATTAGGAAGGAGAAAGCATGAAGAAATTTCTTCTGTGTCAATGTTGAAATAAGGAAATAAGTAAAAAGCCTATCTGTAGGGCCTGTCAGCCTGTTCCTGCTAATCTGTCACATTTTCATTGTTTATCCTGCACACTTTGTATACTGTAATCTGCTTGCATGTTATCAGTGCTGCTGTATGCACATCTTCCCTGCCGTGTTGCAAGTGTAATGCTCTACAGAACACAAGCTGTCTTAAAACTTGTCTTTTCAACTGACATGTCATCAGAAACAGAGGAACAGTTTTATGGGATTAGTCATGTCCCCTTCAACAGTTTCTAATGAACTTGTCCCACAAGTTTTCTCCTATTATCTGAAACAAGGCATGGCTGGCTGTACTGTGGTGGTACCACCAGACTGTACTAAATTAATTGGAACATTTTTTGATGTCTTTCTGTTCTATGTTGCTAATGTTTCAAATATCAGCATTCCAGCACGAAGGTGTTTCAGTCTAAGATTTCAGAATGTCATCCTTAGCTAGCTGTTGGCTACCATCTACAAAGAAAACCGTTTGCTGTAACTAAGACGTTGTAGGCGTGGCTTCACTGGAAATAGGCACTTCTTATTTTCTGTTTTTCCTCAGCAGAAGACTGATCCAGATGTGATTCTTTGCAATGCAGTAGAGATGATCCGTGAGCGTTTAAATGTTTCTGAAGATGTTAAAAAAGAGCACCGTGAGAAAGAAGATGAGTACGTTTATGACATCTACTATATGGAAACATCAGCCCCTGGTTGGATCCAAAATATCCTTTCTGTACAGCCCTATAGAGAAGAATATGAACTGGTAAGGATATGGGAAAACAGATCTTTCTTAAATAGAAAGGTCACAAATAAACAGGTTTAAAGGCCCATCATTGAAAGTTGCCGTGCCAAGAAAGATCCTTTGAGATACTACACATAAGCTGAGTGACTTCTGTGTTCGACTTTCTGTAACTGCCAGTCCTGTGTTCCTCCAGGTTATTGTTGATTCAAGTTAATTATGATATGACAATGAAAACGGAAGGCATAGTGCTCTTGTACTCAGAAGAATTCGTCTGGCTTCAAATTGCCACATAATTTTTGGCACACAAATGTGAACTTAAGGTGACTAAGAGGCAGCGATTAAAATGTAGCTGTAAATACAGTTGGGTAAAAAAAAAGGACTAAGGGGACACACACATAACTTTCTCAATTTTTGAGGACTTTGATCTTAATACGAGGTATTTTTTTGTAATAGAATTATCCTTCAGTGACTGTGGAGTTAGGAAGTTAATGTAAGCTTTAGTCTTTCATTGTATAGATACTGTGATCAATAGACTTGCGTATCAGGAACCTAAAGCTGCCTTTTCCTTCATCTACACGACTGCTGAAGCGAGTAGGATTAATTTAGACATTAACCTTGGCATTTAAATGCTGAACTGGAAAGTTTAAATGTATGACTTAACTGATTTTTCACCTAAAGCAGGTTGCTAAGTTATGATGAATATACTGACAACACTAATTTTTCTACAGTGTGTGCGGTGCAATTGTTGAGTAACTTACACTTGCAGTAGATAAGTTATCTCTTGGCTCTTTATGATCTGTATAGTATTGTACAGGTGGATGAAAAAACGCTTCATGCCAAGTGTCTGTATTTATAGTGAATTTTGTGGTTTGTGTTGACATGCAGGTAGATGATGATCAAGTTCCAGGGGAAATATATGATGATGAAGATGACGAAAATGATGAAAATAACTGGCGTAATGACTATCCTGAGGAAGAGGAATTCTTACCTGAGGAAGATGGTGATGGAGAAAAAGGTATGTCTGTCATAAATAGTTTGCTTTCATGCTGTGTGCATATAATTCCCATCAGTTGCTTTTTTGGAAAGATGGCATGTAAAAACGAACTGAGCACCTGCTGGGGTAGTGGTCTGTGCTTATAATGGGTTAAATCTGCTTAGAGAAGGATCTTCTTTCTTGGAACTACAAGGGATCTTAGTGGTTTTGCAAAGTCAAAATTAAGAACTTAATTTCGGGCTGCTGCACTTGCAAAGGATTGCTTGTTTTGAAGAATAGATGACTTGGTTCCACGTGCTTGTGAAATGCTGCCTCTGCTTTCTTAACTCCCCATCCCAGCACACACCAAGCACAATTCAGACCTCACCTAATACAGAAGTTGTTTAGACTTTGTAAGTTACTCAAGAAGCTTGAAATACTCTAATTAACCTAATTGTTTAACTAAAAAGAAGGGATAATCTAAAAGCATTGATGCTCTTTCTTTAGAGTCTGAAGAGAGCTTCAGTGATGAGGACCAATGTTACAGGAGAAGAACATGGAACAAATACCGACAGGAGATTCTACAGGAATTTGGCTATGATGAGACCCAGGATTTGGATTCTGACTAACAGCCCTTTTTTGAATGTGAAATGCATACTGAAGGCTAAATTCTGCCATTGCAGTAGAACCGAAAATCCAGACAGCTACTGATGGCTATTTGTAAGAATGTTGAACTAAAAAAAAAAAAAAACAAACCACCTTCCAAAAAACCCTGAAAAACCACTTTCCGATAAAAGTTGAGCCCATTGGGACAGTAGGAAACCAATCTTTACGTGGATGAAGTTTAAGCTACATTTTTGCCTGCCTGGCCTTCTGAAACTGTTGGTGACTAGCGTGGTTCACCCTAATGCTTACTGACTAGGCTTGAGTATTAGGTACTAGACTGGGATTCCAGTAAATGCTAAAACCTTTTGCTATCAGCTGAGCTGTTATGATCTGAGCAGCCAACTGCAGCTGGTAGCTATTCAACAGCTGGGTATGGATATGCGACTTCACAATACAAACTTTTGTTCCAAGCAAAAGATAGTATATGCTTTAAAATAATTTTTCTGCCCATTCTGTGATGCTGAGGTTCTAAAGGAATTTTTTTTTTTTTTAAATCTGTACGCCCAAGCATTTGTACCTGTACTGACAGTACCTCTGCATTATGTATGGAGGTACTGTTGCCAGCAGCCCTTCTTGTCATGACTAATGGGTTGGGTTTCACAAGTTCAATGTGTCTGCCATGCTGGCAAGTGGAAGTCCTGGAAAAGGGCACTCTGTCCTAATGCTTTCTACTGTATTTGTTCCTGAGTTTCAAGTTACCTTCTTTACAAGTGCTTGAGCATATGAAATGCCTTGACCTGTCCACTTTATTGCTGGAGCTCTCTCCAGCTGGGAGTAGGACAGTATATGTCATTTAAATTATAAATAAAGAGGTTTTGACTAAGTTTTCTTTACTTGTTTAAAGATCACAGGAGTTGATACAGTGGAAGCCATGTCAGCATTTTAACTTGCATTTGTCTTTAAGAAACACTATAATGTTACGTGTTCGGACACACAAAGTATTTCAGTGCTCTCCTACTTGAGTCTCCAAAAAAAAAGCTAATACAATGTTAGATCTGTGTAAGTCATGGGCTGTAGGTTACAGTAGTGAGTTTAGGTCAATTAGTTCTGCCTGGTGATGTCAAAGTAGTGGGGGCAAAATATTTTTTCCTTGGTTTCACAGAAAGGTCAAGGCTGTTAACTATGCCACAACCCTAGCCTGTTAAAGCTATACTGCCCACTAGACAGATGTCTCAACTTGGATATTGACTTAATTCTAATCATACAGAAGACTAAAGAGCTGTATTATAATAGCTAAATGCTAATTTTCATTAAATACTGAGAAGACCCTACATGTGCACAAAGTTCCTCAGCTAGAATTTAACCATCTGAAGTCCCAACACTGCTTCACAAAGGTAGCCCAAGACTGCACTTAATGTTTGTTTTCACCATCTACTACCACCTGCCCTTAGCCATAGCTTTTGTCTAAGGTAACCTTGGTCAGGGCATCAGTACGAGAATCCAAATATTCTCACTATTATTCAAGTGGCTGATGCAAATGCAATGCAGCATTTGAAGTATGCATTGCTTCAGCCATATTCTCGTGATTGCAAGATTTAGATCAACTTAAACCACACAAAAAATGCACATGTGGACAAACTCAGGTAAACATTCCATACCAAGATAAAAATTCCAGGTATGTTTTTGAAGTATAGCTCACTCTGCTAGCCAAAGAGGTTGGCTTCATGTTACCTTTTGCTGCACCAAAATTCGGTATCAAAGTGTCCTGATACTAGGCTTACGGCTTTGGAATTACAAACACCTAGTGTAGTACTACTTTTTATTTCTGTTTTTATTCCTATTTTCTCTCCCTGCTACTTAGCTTTCAAGATATGGTTGCTGCCACAGAACTCTACTTCTGCTATAGTAGAAGAAAGTAAGTAAGTGGTTTGTTCTGTGAGTTTTTGGATGGTCATTTTCTAGTGACCAGCACTGAAATTTAGAAAGGCAATTTTGAGACTGCTGAGGTAACACTGCTAATGTGTGTTCACTGAAACAGTTCAGAAACAAATACTTACAAGCTTCAAACTGAACATTTTAATTTTGGAAGTTTCATAAAGCCTGTCAGAAGTTGACCCAAGTACAAAACAAGCCAACAGGGAAGAATCATCAAATGTTAATCGAATCTTTAGTGCCAAGTTCCTTTGTTGATTCTATCTTTGCCACTGTCAGATACTGCACTTCCACACAGCGTACAGAATAAAATACTTATCTTTAAGGAGAAAGGTTGGTTCAGTCTTTAAATAACATAGAACAACTTTATTCATTTTTTCTGCTAATAATGACAAATCAGGTAGTTTGTTGTGACCAGTTGTCTTCTGGGATAAGAACTGAGAGAACACAGCAAATCACTTCATGCAAACATCCATCAGAATTAAGCTGGAATGACTTTTGGTCTTTTGAGTCAAAGTGGGTTTCAGTCTAACTTAAAAATGTATTACTTCACCGCCTGGTTCTGCAGAAATCTAATTTGATCCATTAGCTCTTACCATTTTAATACCAATTCTGAAGAAGGAACAGTATTGACACATAGCTTGGGTGCCCAAAATGAGTAGGTAATTATTATCCAATGAAAACATGCCCTGAAAATATGCCACAGTTTAGGAGGGTGATGCGAGGGCAGGATTTATGTGGGAATTCAACTGCAAGTAAGTTTTCAGTGTTTCTGAAAGACCACTGGAAATAGCTTTCCCATTTTTCTTCCAGTTCCATCTCTTCCCTTTTGTTGTCATAACTGCTATATCCTCCCTCCTGTTTCTTGTAATGGCTTTTAAATTTTAGTTGGATTTGATTTCCAACTTCTTTTCTTCATTTGGGTCCATCTCTGTTAAAACACAGTAACAGAGCAGCTGCATGTTTCGTGTGACTGTACCTGCATAGGAAATTGAAGATAAATCAGAAGAATAGCCACCTCAATGCTAATTACCAACATGCATCTGACTAGTCAAAGTTAGTTGTCAAGAACGCTGCCTCACTTCTCTTAAGGGACACAAACAATAAAAGTTAATACAAAAAGTGTCTTCCACTCAATTTTTTTTTTTAAACAGAGTATTTAAAACTGTTCTGTTGATATCCTAGGGTGTTTTTTGTTCTTAGGCACCCTGCCAAGTAACTGAAGTAAAATCTTAACTAAAAGTGTAAAATTGGCAGAATAAAAAATAAAACAAGAACTTCAAATAGCACACAGGAAAGTGACAAGTACTGAGTATATATTCACTAGCTGCTGCAGCACCACATCTGTTGCATTCTAAGATTATGCTATAAACCTTCCTTACTATGTGAGAAAACCATGATGAAGGATGTAGAAACAATGACAGCAGCATACTGCTGGAGAGAAATGGATGATTTAAGTACAGCAATTCAATGGAAGGCAAAATTCCATCTGTGACCAACATAAAATCTATCCATTCTCAAACAACTGATCCAGTAAAGCAACACAGTTAGCTTGCGTTACCAAGAATGTCCAACCCTTTCACAGTCAACGACCTTGCTTAAGAAAAAGACTTTGCATGTGCTTGATTAAAAGAGAAATGCATAAAAACTGAGGACAAAATCTGTAGAAAGGGGATGGTCTTTTAAATATACAGTAAATAAAATCCGTGTGTAAAAACATATAAAACCAGTATACCCCTTTACTGGGTCTGGCTGGGATGAAGTTAACATTCTTCATAGCAGCCCATTATGGTGCTGTGTTTTGGATTTGCGGCTCAAACAGGGTTGGTAACACACAGATGTTCTCGCTGTTGCTGAACAGTGTTTACACAGTATCAAGGATTTTTCTTTTTTCCTCCCACTCTGCCCTCCCTGTAACCAGACGGGCAGGAAGTTCAGAGGGGAAATGGCCAGAACAGCTGACCCTAACTAAGCAAAGGGCTATTTCATGCCGTATAATGTCATGTTCAGCAATAAAAACTAGGGTAGAGGAAGAAGGGCGTGCATGTGGGAGGGCATCTTCCAACGTGGCCGTTGCTTGGAGACTGGCTGTGCATTGGTCTGCTTGTGGGAGGTGGTAAGTGATTGCGTTCGCAGCAGTAGGGGTCTTTTCCTTCTTTCCTTCACTTACTAAACTGACTTTATCTTGACCAACAAGTTTTCTTGCCTTTGTTCTTCCTATTCTCTCCCCTATCCTGCTGGGGGGTGCTGCTGAGCGAGCAGCTCTGTGGGTACTTAGCTGCTGTCTGGGGTGAACTGACCACAACGCTTTTCAACAACAAACCAAGATTCACTTATTTAATTTTCCTCTTTCCTAACAACATCCCCATCTACAAAGAAACTTACCTAAAATCTTGTTAATAAATTGAGGTCTCTTTGATGCAGGTAAATAGACTCCCAAGAAAAAGACCGGAATTCCAGATAAAGCAATGCCAATTCCAATCAATGAATTTATAGTGTCGCTATAGAGCGGCACTACCACCAGAAATACTGTGCATATACAAAATATTATTGGGAAAGCCACGCTCAGCTAGACAGAAAAAAAAAGACAGAATGTTATTGAAATATTTATTGTCTACAGTTACAAATGGTTTGGTGAGAATTACAGACTTTTCCCCTCTCAACCCCACTTTGTGGAATTATCTGCTCTTTTCTCTTATACATCTTGCTATTTGGAACCATAAGCAAATTGCAGAATAATTCTTTTGCAATTTTTAGCAGCAGTTCTGTTAAAGTAATCTAGTATGGTAACTCTGCTGCGTTGAAAGAAACTGTATAACAGTATGAAGTGGTTTTAGACAAATCCAATAAATCCCAGGAAACAGGAATGACTTTTTCATGTAGCCCATCAACTTTAAGTATGAGGTGGTAAGAGGATCAGACATTGAACTGAAACAGCACCAGAGCTAAATGTGGTCTACTTTAACAGTACTAATTTAAGCATTCCTAATTTGAGATTTCTAATCCAAGAAAAAGAGCTAACTATGTTAGCCTATTGAGACATTCCCTAGTTAACAGAGGGAAGGGCTACTGATTGAACTAACATAAAATAAAGGAGTATACTCTTAAAATAATCACTTTTTATATATAAAACAGACAAGCTAGTTTTCATGGTACAACATAAAATGAAAGCCATGTTTTGTGTCCTGATCAATTTGTAACCTTTAGGCATAACATATCCGGTCCAGGTTTTAGACAGTACTTATACATTATGTGAAACAGAGGGATTTTAAACAATTCTGTAATAAGTATTACCTTAAGAGGCCTGGGTCGATCTGGTTCCTTCCAACGTAGATATAACTGTCCAGCAATAGAAAGACCAACAAAAAACCAGTAACTGAAACTGAAGTAATTAATAAGCTTGAAGACATCTTCCACAGCCAGGTAAACAAGGGTCATAGCACACTGTCAGAAAAGAACAGGAGTGAGATGAACAACAGAAGTTTGAAACTTACTGTTTACTTTTTACATGGAAGTAACACCTTTTACTGATTGGTGTTTGGCATGTTTTTATGCCTCTCAAAATTCACTCTCTCAGCAATCACCTCAGTGACAGTAAACCTGAAGTTCTCTCCTGTACTTTTTTAAAGTTGTCCTTTAAATCATTCATATAGTCACATCTGAACAGTTGAGAAGAAAAGCAGTAATAACTTACATTGAAGAGCAGTGCTGGCACAGGTGTGAACCTCTCTATGTGGATCATAGACAACAGATCAGGAAGGTGACCTTCTCGAGATCCTACAAAAAATAGCCTGAAAAACACAAATCAGAAAACAGATGTTCAGGCCACATGTGAGAAAGAACATATTACAGAAAAATCAAACAACAATACCAGTCAAAATAAGTATTTACGCCACTGAATTTCCATCCTTTGAATGGGAACATCAATTCAACCCTTCCAATAAAAATGTACTGTACAAAAATCATTAAAAGATATATAAGCTTTTAGAAACATGCTGTTAACACCCATTTTTAGAAAACAATTCTACAGGTAAAATAAAAAATATCTACAGTGACTGAAATAAATCTCTACTGTTTTAAAAAATTCTAAAAGCGAGTGCTGTTTTCAATGACAGCCAGAAGAAATAATCAGGTGTCCAAAAAGAGGTCACTCAGCCTCATGCTCAAAAAAACCCCACTCGTAAATTTATTATCAACTCCAAATTGTTCTATACTGACTACTTCACCAGATCATGTTTGTACTTGTTCTCAGTACAGAGGCATTGAGCATACATTCAGTGGACAAAAAGGATGTTAAAATGCCTCAGTAAATCTATTTATAAACTTCACTAGTCACATCCATAATCAATGCTTAGAGGAAAGCTTCTATACTGTATCGTAAGCTTTTTAACTGCAGCTTAATAGCAGTAGCAACTTTTAAAACTTTTTACTTGGAAAAAAACCTTAAAGATACTGATTTTCAAAAGTCACTAAGTTTTAAGTAAATACATTTGAAAACAAGGACTTGCTAGAATTATTTTATCAAGTAAAATGGAAGACAACTCAATCCAAACTATCAGAAGGCCTGAGGATTCACCACACAGACAACATTCATTTGATCTATAATTGTACTCTGCATACAACTAGGAACGCTTTGCGGAAGAAGGCAGTGTTTCGGGTGTATGTACACACACAGAGGTTTATTTAGGCCTGTTATTTTATTGTGGCCATTCATTATAGGTTCAGTTACAAAAGTATTTTTGCCCTTCTCTCACTATAGATGAGTGTAACAGTGACACGTAAAAATACTTATGAACACTGGTCAAATAGAGATATACAATACCTTGATGATGCTAGAATTGA